CACTTTCAGGAAGGAGGCCGCAAAGTCACGCGACCAGAATTTTCTCGTGCACCAATTCTGGTCGGCGGTAGTGGCGCCCCAGGCAGCGCGGCAACCGCGCGCCGCCAGACACGCGCGCGCGGCCACGCCACCGCGGCAGGTCCACGCGTGGATAGAGCGCGTGGAGTCGGCAAGGAACCTGGCCGACCTTCCCAGCCGCGAGGAGCGGGATCTGCTCTCGCGTCTGGGGGGGAAGAGGGTCCGTGCACAACTCGCGGAGGCCGCCCGCTGTGGGCCACCGCCCGCGAAGGCTGCATGTTAGTAAGACTGCCCCGCGTGCGCGCACCGCGGGGCGCGCGCGCGCGCGCGCAAGCGGAACCGGCTGCCGCGCTAGCCGGCATTGCGCAAGATGTAGCTCGCCCGCGACTTTCGCCGTAGCTTCCCAGGGCGTTTCAGCGATGCGGCGGCGGCCGAGGCCGCGGCTCTATGCGTTCGGCATGGCTGCTGTTCTCTCATGCAGCTGCAGGGGCGCGGCGGCGAAACCGCCGGCTGGTGCGATCGGGCTGGCACGAGCGAAGAGTGCCGTCGACTCGCGCGGGTGGCCGCGCTGGCCCGACCGCCCCCGGGGCCGCCCCCTGGGCGCGACGCGGTGACCGGCATATCAAGAGGCGTGAAGCGTTTTCTAGGCGAGCGGCGCGCGCGGGCGCGGGTCGGCGTCTTCGCCGCGCAGGCAGTGTCGCATCGGTTCGCCTCGCCCGCGATTTACACCAGTGCGGAATAAAAGGTTGCTCGGCTGGCGCGCCCGCGGCGCGCGCGCGCGCGCCCGCCGGCGCGCAGGGGGTGCCTCCGATATCGCGCCTGCGGCCAGCGTACTGGCGGAGCAAGGGTTCGAGACCCACCAGGATCTCGTCGGGGCGCAGCTGAGGTGCATCGCGGACCTGCATGTCCTGCCAGCACCCCTCCTGTCGGAACTCGATCGCCTGTGCACCGCGGGACCCTCTTCCGCGCGTAGCGGGGATGCGCGGAGCCGTTCTCCAGAGCGCCTGACAGCGATAGCGCCTGCATTCGAAAGTGCGATGGCGCGGCCAGGACCGCCCTCACCACCCGTGCCAGGGGGACCGCGTCGCAACGCGCAGCGGCTTGCGTGCCCCATGCCCTCGCAGGGGGAGCGGCGCGAATGGGCGGAACGGGCCCGATTGGAGGTCCTGGTCAGCACTATGCCATCCACCCGCCAATCTTTGAAGAGCGGTGCGCGGTGCTGGCTCAATTTCGCGATAGACGTACTCGGACGTGACCGGCATCTCGCGCTGCCGCCCAGCGAGGCGCGACCTATCCGCGCAACCCCTCCTGCGCGGCCCGCAGACTCCTATAATCTGCGGCGCGCGCCCAGGACGATCTGTTGCGCTGGTCGGGCACTTTCTCTTGCGCGGGCACGTTCCGGAATTATTGCGGGCGCGCGCAGACAGCGTGCGAAGTGCTCCGCCTGGACACGAGCGCCTTCGGCAACAGATGGCTGCTCCGGTGTCGGCCCCCCGCGCCACCGCGCGCGCGAGGCCGCGCGTCGCGCGCCCAGGAAGGCCAAGGCAGCCATTGTGCGGCGCGGCGGACACACGCCACGCGAACCGCGCTTCGTTCGTGACGCTATGATTGCGCATTTACTTGGCCTACATGGTCGCAGCGAAGAAGAAAAGGCGGGGCCGCCGCGCGGCATTCGCCAGTCAACCCAGCGGTCGCGCAGGTGGCATCCACCATGTTTCTAATTACGTACATATTCCTGCTTCGCCTACCTTCCGAGTGTTTACCCATCCGGAGGTGCGGCAACACTCTGTCGCGCGGCCGCGCGGCGGGCCGCGCCGTCTGGAAGCGCGCGCGCTGGGGCACCCGCGCACGCGCCAAACGCGCTAGGCGGAGTTGGCCATATCGGCAGACGAGGCACTCCTCTGGTTGCCAAGGCGGAAGAACAAGCCGTGCGCGTCGATACTCCGCCGGAGGTGTTGGCGCCGCGCGCGCGCCGCGACGCGCGCCGTGCACGCGCTGCCTCCGTTGCTGCGCGGCACAGCAGTAGGCACTCAGCCGTTCGCGCAGTTCTCAGGGTCGGATGCCCGGCGTATCCTTCGGTCCCTATTGTCCAGGATAGGCGTGGACAGTGCCAACCTATTCGGCACCCACGACATACGAAGGTCGCGACCCGCGACCGCCCGCGCGGCTCGGCGCGCACATCCCTCCGCCCCTCTCGCGCGCACAAGGGGGCACGCCGATGACATCGATCGCGCGGGTGCACCGACCGCAGTAACGAAGGAACGTGGAGGCTGGGCGTCGAACGCCTACCTGGCTTACATCGACCGCGTCCGGGTCGAAAGTGAGAGGGTAGCGGCCGCGCGCAACGCCGCGTCCGACTGCTCGGACAGCTCTGACAGCAGCTCAGACACCTAGTGTGGCTGCGACATCCCGGCGCGCGCCCGAGCGCCGCGCTCCGCGTGCGCAACGGGTGAGCGGCGCACGGCGCTGGTCGCATCGTTGCATTGGGTCGTGCTGCGACCAGCACCGAGGCCTCGTGGCGCCCGCGCCCTCTCGGCGCGGCGCAGGCTTCGGCGCACACCCAACGCTGTGGTTGCAGACGCAACCCAGCTACGGGTGAGCGGGGTGCTCAGCGAATTTGTGTGTATGGAACGAGTTCGGCCCCTGGTTCCATCGCACACATTCGCTGGCCCCAGGCGCACGCGGCGGACGCAGGCGCGAGCAGTCGCCGCGCCGCCGCTTGGCTCGCGCGCGCCGCGGCGCGCCGCAGGCGATGTGGGCAGGCCCGCGCGCCCCCGCGCGCGGCCGCTGCCCGCCGCGGCCGCGCGCAGGCACCACAGGTTTGTGTGTGCCTGGGGCGCGCGCCCCGCGCTCGGGATTTGACCCACCCGTGCCCACTCCGTTTCTCGCCCGTTGCTGGGTCGTGCTGCGACCAGCACCGAGGCCTCGTGGCGCCCGCGCCCTCTCGGCGCGGCGCAGGCTTCGGCGCACACCCAACGCTGCGGTTGCAGACGCAACCCAGCTACGGGTGAGCGGGGTGCTCAGCGAATTTGTGTGTGCAAGCTCTTCAACACCGCCTGCACCCCGCGCCCTCCGGCCGCCTGAGGCCCCGCCCGCCCGCGCCCTGTCTCCCCAATTCGTGCTTTGCGCGGCCCGCCTAGCTCTTAGCCGGAAGAGGTCTCGACCCGCAGACCAAAACAGTTGCTGTAGTTTCTTTCCCCGTCGCTACGGCCGCGGATTTTGATCAGTGTGAGCACCAGCCAAAAGACACTGACATGTCCACGACAGGACGAGCGCCTACGCGCCTGACTGGTATAATAATGCGCAAGGCCCCTGAGACCCTCAAGAGTACCCTGGGTAGAAGCAAATGCTCTCACAGGAAGGGGGTCCACCGTACTCTCCTAGGATGCAGAAGCGACGGTTCTTGGCACACGCAATCCAAGAAAACTTATCCCAGTCACCTCTGCCGAGCCATTGCGGAATCCATTTTGGACAGCGCGTTGCAGCCAACGGCTCCAGCAGAGAAAACAGATCTTGTGTTCGAGTTCAGCAGAGCCGACGTCACAGATGGGCTCAAGCAGTTCTCTGTGCCATGGTCCCCAGACTGCGACGAGAGATTTACCCATTGCCCCTGATTTCGCAGAGAACCCCAAGAGGTCGTGCCAACGAGTTGACCCAGAACTGCATCGTTTCCTTCCCGAGCCCAGTGGTGAGGAAGATGACTTGATTCCTTCCCGATCCACAGAGCCAAAGAGCCAGAGGACTCGGCTGACTTGAGGTCTCTTGTGGTTCCTCCTCTCGCCCCCTCTCCCCCTCCCTTGTCCGCATCCTCTCACAGCCAGCCCCACGAGGCTGAGTTGAGGTCTCTTGTGGTTTCTCCCCTCGTCCCCCCCTCTCCCCCTCCCTCCTCTCCCCCCGGCCTTCTCCCCCCACCCGGCCATCGCTCGGACGTCCACTCCCTGTGCCTTTTTCTTCGGTTTCGTGCGCGGTCTTGTCGCCAAGTGATCCAGGATGGCCCTCGCCGAAGGAAACATGCACACGTCCGAGCGATGCCGAGACCCCCAGCCGACGGCAGCTCAGCAGGCGAGCGTCGCCGCCAACACAGCCGCCGCCAGAACCTGCCGCGAGGCGCGAGCGCAGCAGCGCGCTCGCGGCGCGTACTCCAGGCTCGCACCCCGTGGACCGCCCCCTGGAGGCAGCCCCTCACATGCAGGCCTCTTCACCGAGGCCCAGGAGGCGCGTCCTCTCGTTCCTTCCTTCTCTCTCTTGCGAGGCGGGAGTTTCTCCATATCCACCGCCTGGGAACCGAGGTCCTGGTGCCCCAGCGGGCGGTGGATATGGATGTATTTCGGCACCCGGGGGCCCGAATATGTCCATATCCACCGCCTGCCGCGGCTCCGAAAACTGACCCTCCAGGCGGTGGATATGGATCAATTCCCGCCTCGAATCTCTGCCATCCAGAGCAGATCCGAGCACGGGCACTCGCCATGCCACCGTCCCACGACGACCTCCCCCCCTGGGGAGGCCAAAAAGTGCCCATACCCCACTCCTGCTCCCTGGACCTCTCCCGGGGTGCGTTCTGACCAGAATTGCAAGACGAATCTGGCGGTGGCGACGAGGGCCTCGCAGGAGGCCTAACAAGGGGGAAACGGGCGAAAGGTAATGGTATTTATCGGTACCGTTTCCCCCTCCTCCCTCCTCCCTCCTCCTCCATCCTCCCTCCTCCTCCTCATCCTCCTCCTCCGACGTCGACGACGACGACCACCACCACCAACACCACCGCCACAACCACCACCACGACCACGACCACCACCACCACCGCCACCACCACCACCACCACGACCACGACGACCACCATCAGCACCATCAGCAACATCAGCACCACCACCACCACCACCACGACGACGACCACCATCAGCACCACCACCACCACCACCGCCACCACCACCACCACCACCACCACCACCACCACCACCACCACCACCACCACCACCCGCCGCGGCAGCAAGCGCGGCGGCGGCCCACCGCCCGCCGCACCAGGAGGCCTGGCACCAGCCCAGCACCCTGTCCAGGTGCTCCAGGCCTCGGAACCGGCAGCCGGAGGAGAAGGAAGAGGAGGAGGAAGAGGAGGAGGAGGAGGAGGAGGAGGAGGAGGAGGAGGAGGAGGGGGAGGGGGGAGGAGAGGAGGAGGAGGAGGAGGAGGAGGAGGAGGAGGAGGAGGAGGAGGAGGAGGACGAGGAGGAGGAGGAGGAGGACCAAGAGAAAGTCGAACGCGAGAGTGGAGAGGGAACGAACTGTGACTCTGGCGGGGTCCCGTGCCCCCCCGTGCACCGCCCGGCACCGAGGCACCCCTCTGGGCCTCCTCCTCGTCCTCTTCCTCCTCCTCCTCCTCCTCCTCCTCCTCCTCCTCCTTGGGGGATGGCTGCGGGGGGCTGCCCGATGGTGTAGCGGCCAAGCGCCCTGCGCGCGCATCCGGCGACCGCCCTCGGCCCACCCGCGCGCCTGGCGCGGCCGCGCCATCATCATCAGCATCATCATCATCATCATCATCATCATCATCATCATCATCATCATCATCATCATCATCATCATCATCATCATCCTCATCCTCATCCTCATCCTCATCATCATCATCCTCATCATCCTCATCATCATCCTCATCATCATCCTCATCCTCATCCTCATCCTCATCATCCTCATCATCATCATCATCATCATCATCATCATCGTCATCATCATCATCATCAGCAGCATCAGCATCATCAGCATCATCAGCATCATCAGCATCATCAGCATCATCAGCATCATCAGCATCATCAGCATCATCAGCATCATCAGCATCATCAGCATCAGCATCATCAGCATCATCAGCATCATCAGCATCACCAGCATCATCACCATCATCAGCATCATCATCACCCATGCCTCCCAAGGGCGGCGGAGACCTTCTGGGGACTCCCCCCGCCCGATGCACCTCAAGCCCTGGACCGGGCCCCACGAAGAGGTCGCCGTCGGTGGGACCGGTGACCACCCAGTAGCCTGGGCGGGAGAGGGGGGGCGCAAAGAGGAGGAGGAAGCAGGAGGAGGAGGAGGAGGAGGAGGAGGAGGAGGAGGAGGAACAGGAGCAGGAGCAGCGGCAGGAGCAGGAGCAGGAGCAGGAGGAGGAGGAGGAGGAGGAGGAGGAGGAGGAGGGAGGAAAGGGAGGAGGAGGAGGAGGAGGAGAAACAGGGGAGAAGCAGGAGGAGAAGCAGGAGGAGAAGCAGGAGGAGGAGGAGGAGGAGGAGGAGGAGGAGGAGGAGGAGGAGGGGGAGGGGGAGGGGGAGGGGGAGGAGGAGGATCAGGAGGAGGAGGAGGAGGGAGGAGGAGGAGGAGGAGGAGGAAGAAGAAGAAAGGCGGCGCCGCGGCCCCTGGATGGGTGGCGCGACCGCGAGCAGGCGGCGCGCCCCGCCCTTCGGGCGGGTGGCCTCGACGACGACCCGTCGAACTGACGCGGAGGCTCGCTCCTTCCGCTTCGGTCCCGTTCCGTTTCCGCTTCGCTCCGGCTCGGTCCGTGCCGGCTCGGTCCGGTTCCGCACCGAAGCCGAGGCTGGTTGGGCTCGGTGCGGCCGCGGGCGGGCGGCAACGGGGGACGGCCGAAGCGGGGGGCGAAGAGGAGGGCCCCATGAGGGCCCTCTGGGGCCCCATGGTGGAGCCAGCTGGTGCCCCAAAGGGGCCCCGCACGGCCCCTTCAGGGTCTCTTTCCTCGCCCCCCAAGGTGGTTCACCCCCCCCCCACTGTGCCGCCGGAGGAGCAGGAGGAGGAGCAGGAGGAGGAGGAGGAGGAGAAGCAGGAGGAGGAGGAGCAGGAGGAGGAGCAGGAGGAGGAGGAGGAGGAGGGGGAGGGGGAGGAGGAGGAGGAGGAGGAGGAGGAGGAGGAGGAGGAGGAGGAGGAGGAGGGGGAGGGCCCCCCCCCACTGTACCGCCCGCCCCGGCCCTGCGCCTCAGAGCCGCCAGCCCCCGAGCTCCTGGGCGCGCTCGCCGCCGCAGGGGCGCGGCGTGGCACGCCCGTCGGCCGGGAGAAGTCGGTAGAGCCATGAAGCAGGAAGGCGCCGGAAGGCGTTGGAAGCAGATTGGGATTCCGCCCGCCTCCTGAAGAGGAGGGGGAAGAGGGGAGAACCCTCGACTCCTGAAGTAAGAAGGCGGTAAAAAATAATGGGGGCTGGGAGTCCGAAATCGGGCGCCCGAATTGTCCGGGGTAACTCGGGATCGGGGTAATCCGGGTTCGGAATCCCGAAAAAAACGAACCCGAATTAGCCCTGATCCGAGTTACCCCTGATGATTCGGGGCTCTGGGCGCCCGCATTATCCGGGGTAAACTCGGGCCCGGGGTAACTCGGGCTCGGAATCCCGAAAAAAACGAACCCGAATTAGCTCTGACCCGAGCTACCCCTGTTGATTCGGTGCTCTGGGCGCCCGAATTATCCGGGGTAAACTCGGGCCCGGGGTAACTCGGGCTCGGAATCCCGAAAAACGAACCCGAGTTAGCCCTGACCCGACCCCAGATGATTCGGGGCTCTGGACGCCCGAATAATCCGGAGTAGCTCGGGCCCGGGGACACTCGGGCTCGGAATCCCGAAAAACGAACCCGAGTTAGCCCTGAACCGAACTACCCCTGATGATTCGGGGCTCTAGACGCCCAAGCTATCCAGGGTGACTCGGGCCCGGGGTAACTCGGGTTCGGATTCCCGAAAAACGACCCCGAGTTTGCCCTGACCCGAGTTACCCCTGATGATTCGGGGCTCTGGACGCCCGAATTATGTGGGGTATCTCGGGCCCAAGATTAACCCGGGTTCGGAATCTTGAAAAAAACGGACCCGGATTAGCCCTGATCCGAGTTACCCCTGATGATTCGGGGCTCTGGCCGCCCGAACTATGCGGGGTAACTCGGGCCCGGGGTAACTCGGGTTCGATCGGAATCCCGAAAACGAACCCGATTCAGCCCTGATCCGGGTTACCCCTGATGATTCGGGGCTCTGGGCGCCCGAACTATCCGGGGTAACTCGGGCCCGGGGCAACTCGGGCTGGGAATCCCGAGCATGGAACCCGAGTTAGCCCTGACACGAGTTACGCCTGTTGGTTCGGGGCTCGGGACGCCCGAATTATCCGGGGAAGCTCGGGCCCGGGGACACTCGGGCTCGGAATCCCGAAAAACGAAACCGAGTTAGCCCTGAACCGAGTTACCCCTGATGATTCGGGGCGCTGGGCGCCCGAATTTAATGTGGTAGTTCGGGCCCGGGGTAACTCGGGTTCGGAATTCCGAAAAAACGAACCTGAGTTAGCCCTGGCCCGAGTTACCCCTGATGACTCGGGGCTCTTTTGGACGCCCGAACTATCCAGAGTGACTCGGGCCCGGGGTAACTCGGGTTCGGGTTCCCGAAAAACGCACCCGAGCTGGCCCTGACCCGAGTTATCCCTGATGATTCGGGGCTCTGGGCGCCCGAATTATCCGGGATAACTCGGGCCCGAGTAAACTCTGGCTCGGAATCCCAAAAAACGAACCCGAGTTAGCCCTGACCCGAGTTGCCCCTGATGACTCGGGGCTCTGGACGCCCGCTGTATCCGGGTGAACTCGGGCCCGGGTAACTCGGGTTCGGATTCCCGAAAAACGAACCCGAGTTAGCCCTGACCCAAATTACCAATGGAATTTGGAAGCCCGAAATGGGCACAGAAAAATGGGCACAAGGCTCAACAACAAATGTTATCCCAAACCAAAAGCGGCCGCTGTTGGGCAGGCGGCCTTCTTGGACACAGGCCGCGGCGGCGCGGACAGCGAGTCCTGTTCAGAATGAACAGGAACTGCTGTTTGGCATTGTACCCATTCTTTCCGTACCCATTTTTCCGTTCGTGCAGACAGAAAATACCAGTCGATGTGATGTTCTTTTTCGCCACAAGCGGCTCTGCCTTGCTGCAGGCAGGTCAACAAAAAGGCTAAGCCCTCCCTCAGCCCTAACGTCGGGAGGGCTTGTAGCAGAAAACGGCGTCGGGAAGGGAGGTAGGTAGGCGGAAGTGGCAGCAGTGAAATTCAACAACGCCTACTTTCAACGACCGATGGGCGCGGCTGCCGCGCCGGCGGCAGTGCCCTCGCGTTGGCAGCTGCCGGCCCGCGGCTCGACGGCGCGGGCCGCCGTCCGCTCCGTGTGCTCCTCCGCTCGCTCCCGGCGAGGGTGTGGGGACATCTCGGGAGAGGGGGTTAGGAGGAGGAGGAGGAGGAGGAGGAGGAGGAGGAGGAGGAGGAGGAGGAGGAGGAGGAGGAGGAGGAGGAGAGGAGCAGGAGGAGGAGGGAGGAGGAGTAGGAGGAGGAGGAGGAGGAGGAGGAGGAGGAGGAGGAGGAGGAGGAGGAGCAGGAGTAGGAGGAGGGGGAGGAGGAGGAGCAGGAGGAGCAGGAGGAGCAGGAGGAGGACCCCCACGGACCCTGGGAGGGAGACGCCCGCCGCGGGCTGGTGCCCGAACACCTCCCGCTTCTTCGCCTCCCCGAATAGCGGTTTGAGGGCGTGGGCAGCCGTTCCGACCCCGGGGCTTCGTGGGCGCACGCGGTGATCGACGTGCTGCTCCAGGAGCCGCGCGCGGGCCTGCCGTGGGTCTCGGAGCCCCCGGCGGACGGCGGGCCTCCTGAGGTGCCCCTCCTCCTCCTCCTCCTCCTCCTCCTCCTCCTCCTCCTCCTCCTCCTGCTCCTCCTGCTCCTCCTCCTCCTCCTCCTTCTCCCTCCTCCTCCTCCTCCTCCTCCTGCTCCTCCTGCTCCTCCTGCTCCTCCTCCACCTCCTCCTCCTCCTCCTCCTCCTCCTCCTCCCCCTCCTCCTCTGCTCGAGTCCGTCGCCGAGCCCTGCCTGCCCGACACGACGCTGGGAGTGCGGCCCTCGAAGCCCGTGGCGGGGACGGGCGCGAAGCAGGCGCTGGAGCGCGTGTACTGCCAAGGTTGGGCGTCGGGTCGGGCGCCACGGTGCTGTCGAAGGTCGCCCTTTTCAGCGAGCACGTGGAGCCGTCCCCGTTGCAGTAGAGCGCAGAAAATCCACCCCGATAATAACCACCCCGACACGCGAAGCCGTTCAGTAAACGCACCGAAGGAGGGAGTCAAACAGGGCAGGGCTGTTTAGTAAACGCCCGAGGCCGTTTAAGAAACGCTAATTGTCCGGTCCAGGTGGTTTTTCCTCCCTTGACACGTGGAGCCGTCCCCGTTGCAAGTCCTGGAAGGTGAGGTGGATGTGTCTTTCGTGGGGGACCCGTCTCTCTTCAAGGGCGATCTCGACGTGCCTTCGAAGGCGTGCTTCGGGTCGGGGCCGAGGCTATTTTTCCAGGAGGCCTCGTATCAGGAGGTAGAATTTCGACTACACTCCCAGGTAATTGCGACGAATAGCGTGATAGCGTCCTGAATGCTGAGGCTGGCGCTGCTGTCCCGTAAGTCACTATCCCACCACATTCTGCATGAGCATTTCATGTATGACTCTACTGCCTTCCATCTGTGTGCGGGCGCATGCAGGTGTCTGGTTTTTGTTGATGATGGCTGGAAGACATCCATGGTCGAGGGCTGCCTGGTGGTTGCGTATGCGGAGGCGCAGCCAGGAAGAATCGCCATCCCTGTTCGGCATCGTCAAGGTCGGATTCTGCTGCGCGTACCTCGTCTCGGTCACGGTGCGCGTGGGATTGGTGCTCCTTGCCATCGGCGAGTTCGTGCACGGGAGGGCGGGCAGAGTAGTGCAGCGGCGAACAGTCCTTCCCGTCCTTGCCCCTTCCTCACCTTTCTCTCCTTCGTCCCTCCTTTCCTAGCACCTGGATGCTCCGGCAGCGGCGGGGGGAAGCTTGCGACGACCCCGCGGGAGCCAAGCGGAATGCGGACCGCGTTCATGCCCAGCGCGCGGATCTGCGAGATGTCCGCCTCGTCGGCCGCTCCTCCTCCTCGTCCTCCTCCTCCTCCGCTTCCTCATCTTCATCTTGATGCTATTCGTTGCTGGTCTTCGTTTTCATACTCGTCCTCATCTTCGTCGTCCTCCTCTTCCTGGTCGCTCTGCAAGCTGCAGGCTGACGTCGATGCGAGCACCCTCACGGCAGAGCTCAGCGGACTGAGTCGCCCGAGGTCCCTGACCGACCGACCGACCGACCCAGTCCCTCCTCATACTGCCTCCTCCTCCTCCTCGTCCTCCTCGCGACGCGCCAACGACAGGAACGCAACCTCATCCTCCTCGCATCGTGCCAACGACAAGAACGCAAGGTCAAGCTCAAGGAACTTCTACACCCCCTTCTCCTCCTCCTCCTCCTCCTCTTCCTCCTCCTCCTCCTCCTCCTCCTCCTCTTCCTCCTCCCTCATCCCTCATGCCCGTCCCTACATCCTCCCTCCTCCTGTCATGTCATTCCATTACATTCCAATACATTACATTACATTACATTACATGCCATTCCATTACATTCCATTACATTCCTCCTCCTCCTCCTCCTCCTCCTCTTCCTCCTCGTCCTCCTCCTCCTCCCCCTCCACCCTCCCCTCCCCACTCACCCTCTGCCCTCCATGATCTCTCTGCCCCTCGTCCGTCCTTCTTCCTCCCCTCTCTTCCGCTTACCTCCCTCCCACATATCACAGTCCACCGCACCATCACGTCCTTCCTCGACCTTCCCCCTCTGATCCTTGCTCCTCCTCTCCTCGGCCTCCTCCTCTCATCGGCCTCTTTCCACAGGTGATTCCCAAGGAGGAGCACCAGTTCAGGGCTGGCGCAACCACAGCAGCACACGCACTCATGCCGAGTGGCTCCCAACCAGCTGCGTCTCCACCTGGCGGCTGGCGGATGGCCCGGACCATCCCTGCATTTGGACCCAGACCTCAGGCTCGCTTGGCAACGAGACCTGGACCTGGGAATGGCAGGTGCGCGCAGGGGAGTTTCCAGAACTTCGATGCTGGCATAACCTAGTTTGAGAAACTCCTCCGCGGCCACCACAAGGGTGGCCTCGAGGGAATTGTTCGAAACTCGGCCTCGGCGGTGGCCCGAATTTGGGGTGGCTCAAAATAGGTAAACCCCCTGTGCGCACCAGCCGTGCTGGGCCGATTTCCCACCACCACTACCATATTTAGGAGAGGGAGGAGGTGGAGGTGGAGGTGGAGGTGGAGGAGGAGGAGGAGGAGGAGGAGGAGGAGGACCTCCCCATCCCTTCTCCCCCGTCCTACATATTGTAGTGGTGGTGGAGAATTGGCCCATCGGACCCTGGGAATGGTTCCAAAGCCCCCGGCCGCGCCCTCCCATCGGCAGCTGCTGCGGCGGCACCCTCCGAGAAGCCCGGGGGCCCGCCCGAGCCTCCCGAGGGAGGCAGAGGCAGGGGGCCCGGCGTCGGTGGGCCAAAGGCGGGGTCCCGAGGGATGGGGTCCCGATGACGAGGTGCCTCCACCAGCGTCAATTGATGCACCCTTTCCTATCCTCGGGGCCCCATCCCTCAGGACCCCATCTCTGAACCACCGACCCGGCAGCGGCGGAGACCCAGGAGGAGGAGGAGGAGGAGGAGGAGGAGGAGGACGAGGAGGAGGAGGAGGAGGAGGAGGAGGAGGAGGAGGAGGGAGGAGGAGGAGGAGGAGGAGGAGGAGGGGCCGAGCCCGCCGCCAGCCGCTCCAGGTCTTCCAGCGGCCGGGGCCGGGCCGCCGTGCACCGAGGGAGGGCCTCTTCCTCCTCCTTCTCCTCCTCCTCCTCCCTTCCTCCTACTGCACAGAGGGAGGGGAGAGAGAGAGAGAGTCTCCGTCCACAAGCTCCTCGAGGAGGAGCGCCGAGCCCGGCGGTTCCGCGTGCGCCCCCGCTTCCCCAGGCGCAGGCCCAGCTGCACGGCGTGCCAGAGACCTGCACCCTTGCCTGTAGCACCTGGACGCCTGATTCGTTATCCTCACCTCGCGCCTCCTCCTCCAGGGCGCAGGAACCTCGAGAACGCAGCTCGCAGCTGCGAAGTCCAACGAAGAGACGGGGGCGGCTTGCACGAGGCGAGTTGTCTGACGAGCGCTGCGGAACTGATCTGTTCTCGCCTCGACTGCTCCCGCCTGCGCACCTCCCCTCCCCCCTTACGTGCTCGATGGTCACGTGAGCTCACGCCTTCTTCCAGAAGTCTCTGGGAGGTTGCACCGTCCCCCTAGGCGTGGCCTCTGCGGGGTCTGGCCTCTCTCCGGCGCGGCCGCGCGCCATGCTTCTTGGCGCCCCGCCGCGCACGATGTTCGAAGCTCTTCGGCATGAGGTATAATGGGGGGAGGGGCAGATCTTGGCAGCGGGAGAGGAATCTCGTCCACGGGCTTCCCTGCAGAAGGCGCAGGGAAGCCCCGTGGAGCCGCACCCGCCCGGCTCCTTCCCGAGGCGCAGGCCCGGCTGCACTGCGTGCCAGAGACCTCCATCCTTGCCTTGTTCACACGCTGGTCGTTGAAAGTAGGTATTTCTGGATTCCCAGATCCCAGTCTACTTCAAACGCTTTCCTACTTCAAGAGTCGGCATGCTTTTGCGGTGTTTTGTTCCTCTCTGGGAGGACCTGGACCCAAATCCACTAGATCCGCCTTCCTACTTCATGTTTCTGCTAACGTCTTCCGACCGACGTGTACATTCTCACCTCCTCTCTCCCCATCTGGTGCTCGATGGCCTCGCAGTCTCGCGCCTCCTCCCGCAGGTCTCTGGGAGATCGCAACGTCCCCCATGCCTGGCCCCTGCACGGGCCCGCCGCGCCAGGCGCCCGCGCGCCCACGTCCCTGAGTGCACTCGGGCCCACGCGGCACGCGCTCTACCGCACTGGGATCTCGAAAGTCTCAGCCTGCCAACGAGGAGGGTGGGATGGCAGGTGGGTGTTCACTCAGATGCGCGCTGGCTTCCAAGCAGCACTCGTTAATCCCACCAGCCCTTTGGGCGCAGGTGGTCTAGAGCGTTTCCTCCGTTGCCCCTCGTGTTTCCCCTTCGGGGGGGGGGGGGGTATCACTGGTCCCTATTAATAAAGACCCCTCCCCCAGGCGACGGGGAGCCAACCATGGACAATGCGGGCACCTCCCCACTATCCTTTGTAAACAAACCATACAAAACACACGGTGCCTCCACATTCGGAGCATTCGCAGCCAACCCGATGCGGACCCCTCCCCCCGCCATCCCTGTCAAAAAACAATACGGAGTACACTTGGCGGCGGCGGCGGCTGCGACGGCGGCTGCGACGGCGGCGGCGGCGGCGGTGGTGGCGGCGGGGGCGGCAGGGGCGGCGGCGGCGGCGGCTGCGGCGGCGGCGGCGGTGGCAGCGGTGGCGGTGGCGACAGCGGCTGCGACGGCAGCGGCTGCGGCTGCGGCGATTTGGCAGCGGGGGCGGCGGCGGGGGCGGCGGCGGGGACGCGGCGGCGGGGCGGCGGCGGCGGCGGCGGCGGCGGCGGCGCGGCGGCGGCGGCGGCGGGCGGCGGCGGCGGCGCGGGGCGGCGGCGGGCGGCGGCGGCGGCGGCGGCTGCGGCTGCGGCGGCGGCGGTGGCGGAGGCGGCGGCGGGCGGCGGCGGCGGCGGCGGCGGCGGATTGGCCCCCAGTAGCTGCCCATCCAAAGACGATTGCTGAATATGCTGAAGCTCGGGCCAGGCTCGGTTGCTACGTATGTGTTGGGAGGGCGGGTGGGAGTGAGCGAGACGGCTTGCGGGCGGGGAGGGAGTCTTGACCCCTCCCCCTCCCCCCTCCCCTGGACCTGGACGGGGGGTTCCGCGACGCGTTGGGGCGTCCAAAACGGCCTCGGCGAGGAAGCCAAAACCGCTGGTTTACTAGGATGTGAGCCCCATGTTGGCCTCCTGAGGGGGGGGTCGGGGAGGCTAATTGAGCCCCCCCCTCCTGTGATCGATCTCCTCCAAGAGGGCCCCCAAAGGCGCCCAGGAGGCCCCACGATGCCCCGAGATGGCACAAGGATGGCCCCATGTGGCCCCAAGAAACCCCCAAGAGGCCCCCAAGATGCCCCCAAAAGACCCCCAAGAGGCCCCAAGAGACCCCCAAGAGGCCCCAAGAACCCCCCCAGAGGCACCAAAGACGCTCCAAGAAACCTCGGCGAGAATGCCACAATCATTGGGTGTACTAAGGTTTTGGCCACATTTGGGCCTCCTGGGGCGGCACTGCTTCGGATGACTCCAAGAGCGCCTGGGGGAGCCCAAGATGACCTCCAATATGGCTCAAACTATCCCAAGATGCCTCAAGATGGCTCCCACGATGCTCCAAGAGGCCCCAAGACCGCTTCAAGACGGCTCCCAGTGGCCAAAGAGCTCCCCCAGGAGGCCCTGAAGAGGCCAACATCCTTCCAAAACCTCGGGAAAATAGATGTTTTGGGCTTCCTCGCTTTTTCGCTTCCGATGGCCCCGAGATGGCCCAAGAGGGCTCCAAGAGCGCTCCCAAGACTCCCAAGAACGCTTCAAGGGGCCCAAAGAGGCGCCCAGGAGGCCCCAACAGGCGCCCCAGAGGCCTCCAAGAGGCCCCCAACAGACCCCCAAGAGTCCCCAGGAAGCTCTCCAAGGCACCCAAGACGCTCTAAGAGGCGTCCAGGACCGCCAAGAGGCCACCTAAGACGCTCCAAGAAGCCTCCACTGGGGGACCCTTCCCCTGTGTGCTGCCCACTTCTCTGATCGAGGCGTTTCCTCTGGGCATCGTTTCTGGATGGGCTGGCGGGGTTACTTTTTTTAAGCTACTGCAGGCGAGCGCGGCAGCGGCGAGTCGAGTCAGAGCGGGCCGCGCAGAGACGAATTAAACCTAAAGCGGTGGGGCGGGGCCTCACGACACCTCGGCGGCCAGGCCGGCGAGTGGAGGGGGCTGGCAGCGGCTGCCAAGGAAGCTGCACTGCGAGGGGTTGCACGCATGCAACGAAATGCAGAGAGGCTGACTGCCACGGAGGCTGACTGCCAGGGTCTGCAAACAGCTGAATTGGATGCAACAGGAAGGCACCCTGAGGACTGCGAAGTACCAGGGTGGCCAGGGCCAGGTGGGACGAAGCCTCCACGAGGCAAATTGTGTGCGTGAGTTGGCCAGCCAAAGCTGAGGCGCAGCCAAAATGGCGCACGGGAGCACCGCGGTGCGACCAGGGGAAAGCACCTCAAGGAAGGCCCAAGATGCCAGCCAAGATCAAACGGGTGCGGGTGGTGGCGCCAGCAAAGTCGCACACCCAAGCCCCATAAAAGGGGCGCAGTCCGTGTTCGGCCAACCAGAGCAGGCGACTGGCGCGAACCGAACATAGGCAGACAAAACGGCTGGCCAGCACAAGCCGACCCTCGTGCGTACCGACGCCTGGGCAACGCGTCCAGAAACGCGCGCTGCAATGCCGACCCAAGACGGCACGAGGGCGGACGCCAACGCAACACTCGTGGTCGTGGCAGCGTGGAGCCACGGAGGCATGCCCAGGCTGGACCACGAGCACTCAAAGCCCCCACCCTCGAGGGGAGAAGAACCGCGCGTTGCGCCCGGGGGCGCGGCGGGGCGATGCGCCAAGGGCGAGAACAACTTCAGCGGGCCGGAGGCCGGCGGAGGACTGGTGGACCACAACCCCAGCGGCAGTCCAAGAGTCAGTATTGTCAGCTGGCCGCTGCCCGAGTCCCAAGGACGGGGAGCAGCGGCGGCTGGGCAGAGATTGGCACCAGGGGTAGCTGCACTGTCTGCAGACAAACCTACGGGTAGGGGACAGGGCACCGTAACCCCACCTCTTGCAGACAGCTGGTGGGGTTACTTTTTTTGGTCGCGGCCGCGCAGCAGAGGGCAGGCGGCGAAAGGGGGTCCGGGGCGACGGGCCAACCTAATTAGCTACTAGGCGCAGCGCAAGCCGGCCGGGCCAGCTGTTGGGGTTACTTTTTTGTTCGGCGGCCCGCAAGGAAAAGTCCAGAGTGCGTGTCAATCACCTGCAGTGGGGCGCAATGCCAGATAATTCGTGAGGGCCAGGCCACGAAAGGAGGAAGCCGCCAAGAGGGCGCCAATCCACGCACGTGCAACATGCAGAACAGGACGACAGCGGCACCATGCCAGAATATTAGACCGACCGTCCTAACAACAGCCGACCAGACCAGCAGGCGAGCACGTACCCTGCACGGGGCAAATTCTAGAGAGCGGACCCTCCTGACGACAGACAGCCGCGCCGGCAGGAAGGCACACGACCAATCCTGCACGAAACAAATTCTAGAAGGCCAAGCGGCGAGAGAAGGAAGGCAGCCGAGAGGGCGCCAACCCACGCGTGTGCAGCATGCAAACCGGGACGACAGAGGCGCCCAGCCAGAATATTAGTCGGGCTGCCCTCACAACGGCCGAACACACGGACACGCACGAAGGCGCGCGCCCCACGAGACATGGCCAGGAAACAATGCGCGCCAAAGAAGAAGGCCGCGATGCAAGCCGGCGTCTAAAGGGCGGCGAAAAAGGGCGCACGAGTGCGGTGCATTGGGGGGGCCAACGGCCCGCCGCCACAGCACACCAAAGAGAGAGCCCAGGCAGACGATGCGGGCCCAGGTGATTGTAACCAAGGCCAAAGTGAGCCGCGGGCTGGATTATTCCAGCCAGGCCTACGGGCTAAGCCCACGACAGTGGTGGCCTAAGGAGTGAAACTGAGCACCTGGCTCCCAGGTGGGCCAAGGGCGAAGAAAAGGGGAAAGGAGGGGGGAGCGGGGCGAAGGCGGCAGAAGAACGAAGGAGGTGTAGAAAAGCAGGTGGCCTCACTCACTGAGCACCATGTGCTCGCTGGCGAGTCGACAGGGCCCAATCACGGGTGGACGCCACATCACCGTGCCCGAGTCAGACAGGTCGGCAACGCCGGGGGGGTAACGTCGGCCAGGAAAGGCGTGATCTTGGCACAATATGCACCACACGAACTGGAAGTCGTACTCCAGAGCGACGGCGCCGAAAAGCGGAACGGCCAAGACGAGGAGCTGGTGGGGTTACGCGAAGCGTCTCGAATTTTCTCTTTCCTCTCCTCATTACACTTTAGCAGCCGAGAGGAGCCCTGTGGCAAGAGAAACAGAAAACGACTACGAAGAGACAACACGAAAGAGGGCGCGGGGGAGGAGGGGGGAGCCCTCTCCTCATTGCACTTTCTTCCCCTTGCTCTTCCCTTGTTTCGCGGTCTCGGGCCTCGAATGTTGACACTTTTCGCTGCTTGCCTAAGGGCAGAGCGATGCTAGGTGCGACCGCGCCAACGGGCCACAAGGAACCACGCGGCCTACGCTGCTTTTGAGCGCCTCTCCCCTGCACTGAATGGCTGGTTCGCCCTCTTTGGCAAGCCCAGCCTTATAACTTATACCCATCTCCCTTTCTCTTGCCCTTCGATCATGGTATCCCCCGCCTCCTGTCTTCATACCTCGGCAGGGAACCCGCGTCTGGTCAGCCACTATGGCGCCAGCAAAGGACGACGACCAAGCAGTGGCCTAGATATCGGCAGCGTCTTGAAATGGCACTTTCCACGCTCACTGTGCGCATCGACGGCATACAATTGGTGTAACGCCAGACTGATTCCAAAAAGGCCCCTCATCACTTCCCTCCTCGCCCTCTCCTCCTCCTCCTGCTCCTCCTGCTCCTCCTCCTCCTCCTCCTCCTCCTCCTCCTCCTCCTCCTCCTCCTCCTTGTCCTCCTCCTCCTCCTCCTCCTCCTCCTCCTCCTCCTCTTTGTCCCCATCCTCCTCCGCCGCCTCCCCTCCTCCCTCCCCTTGTCCCCCGACGACATCGCCGACGACGACGCCGTCACCGAAGACGACGAGCACGCCGACGCCGGCGACGCAGACGAAGGAGACGCACAGGAGGACGAAGGCGACGAAGACGAAGCTGCAGAAAAAGAAGAAGACGACAACGTCGACGGCGGCGGCCGGCGGCGTTGGCGCCAGACCTCGCTGACGAAGCTCTTCCTGTGCGCCCGGACTTCCTCCGCGGCGCCCTCGTCGCCCAGCCTTGGTGGGGCGGGGGGGATACTCAAAAATAGTCAAAAGTAATATGCGGACGATGTTATTATTATACTTATGGTTATTCTTCTTATTACTATTACTATTAATATTAGTGTTACCATTATTATTATTAGTAGTAGTAGTAGTAGTAGTAGTAGTAGTAGTAGTAGTAGTAGTAGTAGTAGTAGTAGTAGTAGTAGTAGTAGTAGTAGTAGTAGTAGTAGCAGTAGCAGTAGCAGTAGCAGTAGCAGTAGCAGTAGCAGTGCAGTAGCAGTAGCAGTAGCAGTAGCAGCAGTAGCAGTAGCAGTAGCAGTAGCAGTAGCAGTAGCAGTAGCAGTAGCAGTAGCAGTAGCAGTAGCAGTAGTAGTAGTAGTAGTAGTAGTAGTAGTAGTAGTAGTACTAGTTTAAATTATTGTGCGGCATGTTTTGGGAATCTTTATTTTTTCGCCCCAAACCCCTTTGTAAGAGGACAGGCCCAACTTAACTCGAGTGGGGATGGAGCTTGGCCAGAGGCAGCCGCAAGCCTGTCGTAGATGCTCTGACGTCTTCGGACAAGTTCCATCGGTTTCTGGAAGGGTTCGCTGCGCCACAGGCCTCCTCCTCCCTCCCACCCCCTCCCTCCCAATCCTCCCCCGCCAATCCTTGTCTTCCCTCCTCAGTCCTCGTCCTCCCTCCTCCCATCCTCCCGGCCCCCCCCCCCCATCCTCGTCCCTCCCTCCTCCCCTCCTCCCTCCCTTCCAATCCTCGCTCTCCCCAGTCCTTCTCGCCGCCCCCTGTGAAGGGACACGCCCGACTTAACACTATGGCCCACGGCCCCCTCGCCGAGGGCTGCCGCAGAGGGGCAGCGAACCGCAGCGGGCCGCCGCGCGAGGTGGCGCGGCGACCTCGCGCGGCGGCCTGCGCGGGACCGCCCGCGCGGCGCGCCGCACCGGAAGCGGGGGGCGCCTGCGCGCGACCTCACGCGGGGAGCTGGCGCGCGGCTGTCGGCGCCGTCGGCCCCGTTCTCTTCCCTCGCCAGCCTGCCAGGGAGATTTTGGACGAAGATTCAAAGATGCCCAACACATACTCAAAAAGATGCCCAAAAAGACTCAAACAAAAGTTCCCATACTACTTTTGGACTAGTTTTGAATATACCCCCTGTAGAGGGACAGGCCCGACCTAACGCTAGCCTGACTCCATGAGACTTTCGGGGGCGCGCAAGCATGGATTAGCGATCCGTGGATTTGGCGCGCGGTCGCCGAATCCATGGATCGGGGGAAGTGCCCTCCCCAAAAATGCGGCCAGTGCCGCCTCGCTCGACGGCGGGAATCCGCGATTTCCCATGGAAACGGGACCCGTCGCTAATCCACGCCCCCTTGATCCATGTTTGCGATCTCCTGAGACTTCACGGACCCTTCGTCTGACTACCTACCAGACCACCCCAACCCAACCCGAGGACCCAGATTTCCGGTGGGGTGGGGGGGGTACGGGTCTCACATGTGTCTTTTCCACGTTCCTCGACGCCCCCCCCTGGGAATGGAGGGCAACTTGTGGCCTTCCAGGTTGGGTTGGGCTGGTTTGGTGGGTTCAAGGCTCATATCCTATCGCAGTGGCCCGCGATAGGGGCAGGACCTGGGGTGAGACAGGGCTGGACCTAAACGTTTTGTTTCGTTTTGTGTTCGTTTTCCTGCACATCCCTGCCAAAACGAAAAACAAAACACAGCCGAAATCCAGCAACACAGCGTTCAGAATTATGTTGCTACCATCGTACTTAAAGACCACATGCCAGAAATAATTTCGAGCGCCCGGAAAAGTGTCGAACGAGTGTCGAAACAGTGTCGGACGAGTGTCTCCCAGGGCCCGACACATGAAAACCCTCGAGTTTCTGCCTTTCTTGGGTGCTCGAAATTCTTTCTGGTGATCAAGGCCCAGCCCATCCCTGGAGCGAGGCCCATCCCTGGGGCGAGGCCCATCCCTGGGGCGAGGCCCATCCCTGGGGTGAGGCCCTCGCCGCATCGAGGGAGACGAGCGCCTGCCGGCCCGTGAACACTGCCAGCCGAGCCCCTCCGGTCACCGAGCGCTCCGTACTCACGTCCTCGAAACGCGCCCGCTGGGGGCCGCCCCAGATGCCCCCGCTGCGGGTCCCAGGAATATAACACCACCACCGCGTCGATTCCTCCATCTTCCCCCACCCTCATCTTCCTCTCCTCCTTCCTGGGGGAGGGAGGGGATGAAGGAGGTGATGGTGGTGTATACCTTTGGGCCCCGCGCCCGCTACCCGCGCCTCTCCTGGCGCCCCCTGGCCTGGGCCCTCCGGGGCCGTGCGGGGCTTCCCGGGCACCCCTGGGGCAGCTCTTGGGCATCCCGGGGACACCTCCCGCAGCTCCCAGCCCTGGAAGACATCCGACCCACCCACCCCACACAAGGACGCGAAGGATGGGCAGGAGGACATGGGGGAGAGGGGCAGGATGAGTATCGAGGAGCAGGATAGAGGAGAAGCAGGAGGAGGAGGCAGAGGAGGAGAAACAGGAGGAGGAGGCGGAGGAGGACGAGGAGGAGGAGGAGGAGGAGGAGGAGGAGGAGGAGGAGGAGGAGGAGGAGAAGCAGGAGAAGGCGGGGCAGGAGGAGCAGGGCGGAGCCACGGCAAGCGCACCAAGATCGCCGAGGACGACGCAAGAAGCACACCAACGGCAACGGGAAACACCGTGCAATGGGGGCCTGTCTGCCGGCACTGTCGACTACAGCACAGCAAAGCCGCAGCAGCAAAGAACTGGAACGACGAAGCCTGGCATGAATGCAACGGGTCCTGGGAGAAGCGGGTCCTGGACCCCTGGGCCTTCCCCCCAGGAGTAGGTCGGGCTTGTCCCCCTACAGGCGGATTGTGGCTGGAAAAATAAGAAATAATCAAAACATAACCCCAAAATAGCTAACATTGAATCAAAAAACATCGTCCCCAGACTATTTTTTCCAATTTGTGAACTCTCCTCCTGCAGAGGGATGTGCCCGACTTCACCCCAAGACCGCAGCACTTCATCCTCAGTGTCCTGCCTGCCCCGGGCCGCTGGAGGGCCCTGGGAACCCGGAAGATCGGCCAACAAAAACCTCGGGACCCGTTTCCTTCGGGACCCAGCTGGGCGTTGCTTGAGGAAGAGGGGCGCTGGATGCGGTTGAGGAAAACAATTAAGCAACACCACCACCCCCCCGCAATTCAAAGTTGACAGGTTTTCGCAAGACCGCTCGGAGGCCCAAAATCGGAAGATCCGAAACCAACATTGCATTTGGGGGAAGGGGGGGGAGGTTCAAACCATATGTTCTGCATGAGTGTTGCTTAATCCGCCGGCCCCCTTGTGGGGCCACCAGGCTGTAGGCGCGAGGTTCGCAGTTTCCTGTATCAGTTGTAGCTTGTAGTTTCCAGTGTTACAGTTCTGCTTCTTGCTGGTTACTGTAACTAGTTGATTGACCGCGCGAGGGGGGGGGAGGCCCAAACCGGCTTTTTAGCACCCCCTGGGCGCGTTGTCTGAATTGCTGGGGGGGCTCGAAATCGACACCCCTCACGCAGATCCGCGGGGTCAGGGTCCAAAAACACAGGGATTTGCCACATTTCTGAAATTCGGTGCCACCCCTCACGCAGATCCGCGGGGTCAGGGTCCAAAAACACAGGGGATTTGCCACATTTCTGAAATTCGGTGCCACCCCTCACGCAGATCCGCGGGGTCAGGGTCCAAAAACACATGGGATTTGCCACATTTCTGAAATTCGGTGCCACCCCTCACGCAGATCCGCGGGGTCAGGGTCCAAAAACACATGGGATTTGCCACATTTCTGAAATTCGGTGCCACCCCTCACGCAGATCCGCGGGGTCAGGGTCCAAAAACACATGGGATTTGCCACATTTCTGAAATTCGGTGCCACCCCTCACGCAGATCCGCGGGGTCAGGGTCCAAAAAACACATGGGATTTGCCATATTTCTGAAATTCGGTGCCACCCCTCACGCAGATCCGCGGGGTCAGGGTCCAAAAACACAGGCGATTTGCTGCATGTCTGAAATTCGGTGCCACCCCTCACGCAGATCCGCAGGGTCAGGGTCCAAAAACACAGGGGATTTGCCACATTTCTGAAATTCGGCGCCACCCCTTACGCAGATCCGCGGGGTCAGGGTCCAAAAACACACGGGATTTGCCACATTTCTGAGTTTCATTCAGGACCCGTCTGCTGGGCGCTGCTTTGCTTCCTGGAGAGGGGCGCTGGATGTGGGGGGAGAGATTGGAGGCCTGGAAATTGGCACCAACATCAGCCCAGGGGGTTTGCCTCCACATGGGGAAGATGATCCTAGATTTCGGTGTTGGTGGTAATATTTCGGTCACGTTGAGCCAGAATATTACCACCATCACCGAGATCGGGAACGTCTTCCCTTGGTGGAGGCACACCACCGATCTTGGTGTTGGTGTCAACCGCTAGGCCTGCGAAGAGAACCTGCACCTCTCGTGCCCCTTCCCCAGGGGGCCCCTTCAATCAGAAGCCCTGCATGCGAAAGCTGGCAAACCCGTGGCTGCCAAAACGGAGCTCTGGGAGATTGTCTCTTCCTTCCGGGAAGCAGCCCGTCCACTATACTTAGCGCGCCGAGGTCTCTTCCGGGAACTCGTGCTTCTTCCTCCGGGAAGACCGCTTTAGCAGCCACGGATTTGCCTTAAGTCGGGCGTGTCCCCCTACAGGGGGATTTTCGACGAAAAATTAAACATGCTCCAAAAATAACCACAAATACCCAAACAATAGCACCCAAATAATCAACAGATGCTCAAAAAATAGTCCCCAGTCTATTCTCTGACTATTTTTGAGCATTCCTCCTGTAGAGGGACGGGCACGGATTTGCCGGCCCTCGCCCAACTTACGATTCAGGACCCGTCTGCTGGGCGCTGCTTCAGGGAGAGGGGCGCCGGCTGGGGGGTGGGGGGGGGGGGGCGAGCAGGGGTGGACCTAAACTGTGTTTGGGGGATTTCGTGGGCCGTTTTCGTCTCGATGTCGTTCTGCCGCAAAGGCGAACCCAAGACGAGAGCGAGGAGAAACCGAAAGCAGACAACGAGAACGAGAAGCACCCGTTTGGGTCCAGGCCTCTGGGGGCGAGCGTGCGCCTCTCGCGTGCCCCTCTTGGGCCCCGTGGGGGGCCCCGTGGTAGGACACACAGCCTCCTCCTCCTCCTCCTCCCTCCTCCTCCTCCTCCTCCTCCTCCTCCTCCTCCTCCTCCTCCTCCTCCTCCTCCTCCTCCTCCCCCTCCCCCTCCCCCTCCCCCTCCCCCTCCTCGGGGTGTCTGTCTGGAGGATTGGGGATGCAGATGGGGCAGGCGGGGTCGGGGACTGCATCAGGTCGGGCCTGCCCCCCTACAGGGGGGATCTTGGACGACAGAGAGAGAAATACCCCAAAAAATATCCAAAAGATGCCCCAAAGTACTCAAAAACTAGTCCCCAGACTGTTTTTGGACTATTTTTGAATATTCCCCCTGTAGGGGGACAAGCCCGACTTAAGGATTGCACCGCATCGCCGCGGCATCGGCGATGCATCGGCGACGTCGGCAGTGCGTTGGCGGCGTCGTCGCGGAGAAGATCGGGCTCCCCATCGAGCTGCATCGCCGACGCATCGGCGGTGCATCGGCGGTGCGGCGAGATCCTCCAACCACCTCCACTCCGACCCCGTCTGGGAGGCCCAGAGCGTCTCCTTTCTTCACCCCCTCCCTTTACAGCCAACCCGTATCAGAAGGATGCGCGGTAAGCATGCAAGGGCCTTGGAAGGCCATGCCGACACTTTGCAAGCGGGGCGCGGCCAGCGAGAGCGGCCAAGGATGGACCGAGGAGGCAAGGATGCAAAGATGCCCTTGGGAAGGTTGCCCGTCCTCACTATGCGGGTTGACTGTATCGCCTCCCCATCACGCCACGCCCGAACTTGGGAGCGGCCAAGAGGGGGGTGTCCCAAATCATGACCGGCGGCATGTGCGCGGCCCGGCGGGGGGGCCAGGGACGTAATGAAATGAGAAGAGGCGCCATGAAATCTGGGGAGATACCATGGCCCACGCCATGATATCCACCCCCCCTGGTCATGCCCCCCCCTCTTTGCCGCCCCCGACCATCACGCCACGCCCGAACAGAAGCGCCGGGTACCGAGGGCCGTCCGGGCCAGCGGGGGGGGGGCTCTCCGGAGGCCCCCGCAGAGCCGGGAGAAGGACCGAAGGGCGCCCTGGGAGCACGGGCGCCCGGGGTCGACCCCGGGGCCTCCCAGGCAGTCCCCCGCGTCGCGAGCAAGCCAAGGCACGAGGGCAAATGTTTGGCACGCTTCTGGCCTCCAGGAGCCCTCGCTGGGCCCCGGGAGCGTCGGGAGACAGCTCGGGGTGATAAGCTTGCCATCGCTCGCTCCCGCAATCGGCGACGGCGCAGACGCAGAAACCACGACGACGACGACGGCGACGAAGGTGCAGGTCGACGCGAAAGGCGACGACGACGAGGATGACGACGACGAGAACGACGACGGCGACAGCGGCGACGGCCCTGCCTATCCACTGTTTTTTCCCCAGCCCTACTGCGTGTTGGGTCCTCGCTTTGAATTCGCAGAGCCGCGCGTCTCGTTCCTCCTTCCGCCACCCTCTCCTTCCTCCTCTGACGTTCCTCCTCACTCTTCCCTTCGCTTCCTCCTCATCCTTCCTTTCCCGCTTCCCATCACAACCACCACCATCATCATCACCACCACCATCATTATCATCATAGTTTCGGCGCACCCCTCACACGTTTCGCGGCCCCATAGAGAGCTCCACCGAAGGCTCCAGTGGGGTCCGCATGCGTACTCGGGTCCATTTGGGCACACCCCTCACACGTCTCGTGGCCCCATAGGGAGCTCCACCGAAGGCTCCAGTGGCAGGGTCCGCATGCGTACTCGGGTCCATTTGGGCACACCCCTCACACGTTTCGTGGCCCCATAGGGAGCTCCACCGAAGGCCCCAGCACAGCCCTCATGCGTTTCGTGGCTCCTTAGGGATCGCTACCGAAGAAGATACTCACACATGCGGTACGCACAACTGCATATGGTTGGGTCCTTCGCCAGGCTAATTCATCCGTAAGGGCTTCGCCCCATGCCGCCGGCCCCCTGTCTCGGATAATGGGAGATGCAAAAGCTAAATCATAAGGTCTGGGCGCCGCCGTGAAGCAGTGTCGGGTCCACTTCGGCGAACACCTCACACGTTTCGTGGTCCACCGGAGGTGGGTCCACTTCGGCGTCCACCGAAGCCTCCAGCGGAGGAGCTCGTGTTCCGCGCCGCACGCACTACTCAAATTCCCGCGTGCGATTCGAGTCATGCGGGTTCGTGTCGAGCCTGGTCCGACGTTCTCCGGCGATGCTTTCGGGGGCAATGCGGACCCCCAACCCCGCCGAGCTCTTGTGCATCGAGCGGTCCTGTTGATAGTTTCCGCGCACGTAGGAGGGGTTTGATAGCAAATTCTCCACCACCACTCCCATGTCTAGGACGGGGGAGAAGGGAGGATGAGGAGGTCCTCCTCCTCCTCCTCCTCCTCCTCCTCCTCCTCCTCCTCCCTCTCCTGCCTATGGTAGTGGCGGTGGTTGGGTTCTTCGCCAGGTTGCTTTTGTCGCGGCCCCAGAGCTGCCGACCCCTTCCCCGGGGGTACCTCTGCGCCCCGGCTTCGTTTCCGATGGCGCCATGGGCCCCACAGCAGCCCCCCTCGGGGGCCAAAACGAAGGAAAAACGCGGAGATTTGAAAAAATTGATTCCTGAGATTCGTCGTCGTCGTCATCGACGTCGTCGTCATCGTCGTCGTCGTCGCCATTCAGGGTCGGCGGCACCAGCCGTAAGGCCTTGGTAATCTATTCCTGAGATCTGACGTTGCGGAAAAAACCCACCAGCCCTCTGAGCATAAGTGGTCCGAGGAGCTCGTTCTACTAACCCCCTTCTTCCCCTTCGGGGAGGGGGGTCCCCCTCCCCCTCCCCCCTCCACCTGGGTCTGGAGGGCGCGTCTCGCGAAAGGTTGGAGCGTCAAAGACGGCCCAAGATGGCTTCAAGAGGGCCCTAGAGATCCTAAGATGGCCTCCAAGATCGTTCAGGATAGTCCAAGATGGTTCAAGATAGCTTCCAACATGCCTCCAAGCCTTCAAAACCACCCCAGGACGACTCCAAGTGCCCTCCGAGCCTCCCAAGGAGGCTCCCCAGAGGCCAACATCACCCCCAAACCTGGAAAATCAATGATGCTTACTTTCTCGCTAGATCGCTTCCGATGGACTCTTGCGGCCTGTAGATGGTTCCAAGATGACCCAAGAGGGCCCCAGTGGGGAGCCAAAGACGGCCCCAACAGCGCACAAAACCACCCCAAGAGTGCCCCAGGAGGCTACTCAGAGGGCTCCGATGGGGGGACGTACTTAGGACCCCCCCCCGCCTTTTGACCGAGAGTGGTTTCCAAGATGGCCCCACGAGGGTCCCAAAATCTCCCAAGAGAGGCCCAAGAGACCCCCAAGAGGCTCTCAGGAGGGGCTCAGGAGCGCTCCAAGAACGCGACAGAAGGCTTCCAAAATGGCCCCCAGACGGAACCACCAAGAGGCGTACCACAGGCACCTAGAGCCAAAGACGCGCAATGGCTCAGATGGTTGATTCCTGTCGTCATCGGTCGTCGTCGGTCTTCGGTCTTCGGTCTTCGGTCTTCGGTCGGTCTTCGGTCTTCGGTCTTCGGTCTTCGGTCGTCGGTCGTCGGTCGTCGGTCGTCGTCGTCGTCGTCGTCGTCGTCGTCGTCGTCGTCGTCGTCGTCGTCGTCGTCGTCGTCGTCTTCTCCCAAGGGGGCCGCACGCTGCTACGCATCCCTGATCAGGACAACTCGCCTGTTGACTGCTTCGGGATGGGCTGGTGGGTATGTGCGCAGCGCCAAGAAGTGCAGCATCGCGAAAAAACACGATGAGAACCCCAGACTCGGCAACATTTGTGAGCAAAGCGCGCCGGATCGAGCCGTGATGGTGCTGGGACCCGAATATGGGCGAAAACGCTGGGAGTGAACAAACTGCATCGCCTGGATCTAAGGGACCGCCGGAGATCTGGAAGGCGAAGACGGCGACACCGGCGGCGACGACGACGACCGAGCATCGTTGAGCCGATCCCTATCCCCACGGGCGTGGTCCTGGTCCCACTGGCCGACTCGCCCGCCGAAATGGGGATGGTGGCTCTTCCCCTCGAGGCTCGAAAGCCGCACCCCCAAGCGGGGTGGTGGGGTGGCGCGGATCGGGATCTGGGCGAGGATTGGAACCGGTTGAACGATACAGAACAAGGGCTCCCAACTTCGCGCTTCGCGCTGCGCGAAGCGCGAAGTGCGAACAACTTCGCGCTCTCGCGCCGCCTCCCAGGGGAACAGAGGAGGATGCGGGGGAATCGGAGCCGAACCGCGAAGAGCGAACAACCGCGCGCCCTCGAGGGCGCCCCTGTTGAACGAGACAGAACGACGACGAACACTCGGCGGGTCCCTCCTGAGGCGCAGCGACTTCAGCAGGGACCACTCGCAGCCGCACTGCGGCCCCAGGCGCTCGAAAAAGGGGGCGCTGGGGCCCGGCTCCTCTCGGGGCGGAGGCCGCCCGAAGTCGCCGTCGCCGCTGTCCCTCTTCTCTTCCTCCTCCTCCTCCTCTTCCTCGTCAGCCTCCTCCTCCTCCTCCTCCTCGCCCCAGCCCTTCATCCCCTCCTCCTCCTCCTCCTCCTCCTCCTCCTCCTCCTCGCCCTTGCCCTCTCCCTCTCCTTCCTCCTCCTCCTCCTCCTCCTCCTCCTCCTCCTCCTCCTCCTCCTCCCCTCCTCCTCCTCCTCCTCCTCCTCCCCCTCCCCCTCTTCCCCCTCCTCCTCCTCCTCCTCTCTCCTCCTCCTCCCTCTTCTCTTCGTCCTCCTCCTCCTCCTCCTCCTCCTCCTCCTCCTCCTCCTCCTCCTCCTTCTCCTCCCTCCTCCTCCTTCTCCTCCTCCTCCTCTCCTCCTCCTCCTCCTCCTCCTCCTCCTCCTCCTCCTCCTCCTCCTCCTCCTCCTCCTCCTTTCCTTCTCCTTATAGATAGCGCCTCCCTGTCGCACCCCGAAGCCAATGTTTATAGGGCGGGCCGGGCGTTTCGCCTGAGACCTCTTCACCATTTATGACTCTGAAGCTGAAAAAGTAATCACAGCAACAGTTTAACTGATGGAGGGCGGGCCGTTTTCAAAATGTGGCTGTCGCCTTAGCGTCGCGCGTATTCGTTCTAAAAATTTGCAAGAGCTCCACGGATTGAGGGCGGGTCGTTTTCAAAATGTGGTTCTCGCCTCAGCCCCGCGCACATTTATTAAACAAATGCAAGAGCTTCACGGATGGAGGGCGGGTCGTTTTCAAAATGTGGTTGTCGCCTGAGCGCCGCGCACACTCGTTTCTAAAATGTGTAAGAGCTTCACGGATTGAGGGCGGGTGGTTGTTCAAAATGTGGCTCTCGCCTTAGCAACGCGCACATTCGTTTTAAACATTTGCAAGGATATTCACGGAATGAGGGCGGGTCCTTTCCAAAATGTGGCTCTCGCTTTAGCGCCGCTCACGTTCGTTTTCTAACATTTGCCAGAGTTTCACGGATCGAGGGCGGTTCCTTTTCAAAATGTGGTTCTCGTCCTAGCGCCGAGCACATGTGGTTTTAAACGTTGTAAGAGTTTCGCGGGTTCCCATGGTCAACGTACTAGAAATGGTGTTTTGGAAGGATTCAGGATTATACGGGCGCAACAGTTAAGATGATTCGCTGTGTTGCAGTCCCAAACCTGATGTTCAGGCACGATTCTCGATCGTCAAAATGCAGCAGTCAGGTTGATACGTGGCGTTGAAATCCCGAGAACAATGCTTTGGCACGCTTCAGGATCTTCAAACGATTGCCTTCGAACGAGGCAGTTTCCTCAATGGAAATGAACCGTTGTAGGGGCCTATGAAGAGGGAGCTTGGAGGGAGGGTTAATTCCAACATCGTTGATGACTCTTGGGTTTCCACTGCTTCTCCTCCTCCTCCTCCTCCGCCTCCTCCTGCTCCTTCTCCTTCTCCTCCTCCTCCTCCTCCTCCTCCTCCTCCTCCTCCTCCTCCTCTTCGTCCTCCTCCTCACCCTTCTCCTCCTCCTCCTCCTCCTCCTCCTCCTC